CCTTTGCTTGTCAGGCAAGTGCTTATTCCACTGAGCCATCTCCCTGGCCCCAAAGTACATATTACTTCATCTAGCCTGTAACCTTATCTTTAAAATAGGGCTACTATCTGCCACATGAGGTTTAGTTGGAAAAAATAAATGAATTGGATTCTTGGTAAATATTTCGACTCTAGTACACTGTATGAAATTTAATTTTTTCTTAAAACTCTGTAGGCTTATCAACAGACTTTGGTTAGGTGGTTTTCCAAACTCTTATTCACTGGGGACCCCCTATTCCCAGTGTCTTAATTACATTTCAGCCAGAGCAATGAGAGTTGCACACCATTAGCAGTATTAAAATCTGGAAAGTGATATATTTATATATGTATATCTGTATGTATATCTACTGAGAGATTGTTCAGTTAAGAAGTTTTTTTAAAAAATGCTTTTATCTAACATTTAAGGAACACAGTAAAGGAATTTGACTTAAACCTGGAAGGATGCTACAAATAGTACTTCTTTCTAACCTATAAAACGAATTATTTTTCTTTTTTCCTTGTGGTACAATTCATCATTTAGCACCCTGTATTAGTCAGAGTTTTTACTTGAGGAGCAGATATAATACAAGGGACAGATATAACACAAGATGTACAAATGTATAAGAAACGACAAGATTGGCTCAAGATTGCAGAGTTGGAGGAGGAAGCGTGCAGAGGGCGTCTGCACACCTAAGACTGAAGGATTCAGTCCCAAGGTCTGAAGCCCAGTGCAGTGTACATGCAAGTTCCTATCAACCACCAAAGAACCTGTGACAGAAAGCTGAAAGATCCAAGCTGGAGTCTCAGGAGTCTGTGCTGGAAGCCTGGAGACACGCTCCTTTTATGAACTTCATAAATTAGATGCAATTCTTGTTTCTATTAGTTCTTGTGTGCTTCTTCATGATAAGGTTGTTTTATCGGTACTGCATTTCTAGCACTTAAGGTAACAGCTGTAATAATCAAATAACAGAAAGGATACTTGAGGATGTTGCTCAGCCTCAAGAGGAAGAATGTGGTACCTAGCTTTTGGATTAGTGATTTTTTCTTTTTTTAGGATGCCAGATAACATACAGCATACCTAGTTACATTTGAATTTCAGATGAACAAGAGATACTTCTTTTAAGTGTATGCCATGCAATATTTACGACACATTTAAGATATTATTGTTTGTCTGAAATTTGACATTTAACTGGGGTTTCTGTACACGCTGCCTAGTGACCGCTGGCATCATGTTTGTTGACTGCAAGTGGGAGTCCCAAGAAAATACACATGATGGTCTGTATGAACCACTGTGACACGTATCAGAACTTTGGGACAGTGGCTACCCTTTATTAGATTGTTTTCTAAAGTTTGAGGACAAAGCTCAACAGAGCTCTGAACAAAGTGCAAACTGCGTGGAGAGATTTATAAATCCGCCTCCAGTTCTACAGCTCTCGGATAAGCAAGGGAAACCCTCACCCAGCTGGAAACAGCCCTCACAAGTCCAGGAAGGGGGTGTGTCCGCGCAGGCGCAGAAAACTCCGCGGCTGCTCGCCGGCCCCGCCCAACCCGAGTCACGTGGTGAGCGCCCCTCACGCCCAGGCCTTGTCACGTGGTCCTGGCCCGGGCGGCGCACAGGGATGGAGCCGGAAGAGGGTACAGCTCTGTGGCGGCTGCAGAAGCTGCCTCTCGAGCGTGGCGCGCAGGTGAGCTGGGCTGGAGCCCGGGAACGTCGGCGCGGCGGGCGGCGGGGCAAGGCCGCGGCCGCGAGCCCTGGAAGGCTCGGCTGGTGCCCTGGAGGGCGGCTTGCGCCTCTACAGCGCGTTTCGCTGCGTACCCCTCCCGCGAGCTCGGGCTCTGGGTGAGGTGCTGCGGACCCGGGCGGCGCCGGAGGGGAGAACGGTGAGGGCTGAGGGGCTTCGGCCGGGACGGGCCCTGGGCAGCACGTGTGCCCCGGCGGAGCGGACCGGGGAAAGCAGTCCCGTCTAACCGTGTTCGAGTCCTCGCTGCAGGCAGCGGAAAGCCTGGAGTCATGAGGGGGTGTCTCTGAGGAGCCCCAGTTTGACTTCCGTTTCCTATTCCACTCCGTAAGGAGGACGGGAGGGAGTTCACGTCCCTCCTGCCAAGGACAAGAAAATGCATCTTACATTTCTCTCTGACTTGAGAATACCCAGCTGTCACAGGCTTTGAGTAACTTGCCAGAAGTTGACCGCCCTGGGCCCAGAGGTCCGGAGCCCTCTGGCTTCCATCCTCCCTTGCCTCCTTCCTTTACGCCCTCATCTTTGGTTCTGCAGATGTTGATGACTGACAAGCCGCTGGTCCTACCTAGAGGGCTCACCCAGTGTCAGGCTCTGCCCGGCTTCTGGAATAATTTGTGGACTTGGGTTGGGCGCCTTTATCTTGCTGTGTAACTTCTACAGCCTCCTTTTCGCTTGATGGCACTACCAGGTTCACATACTCAGTCTACTGAGATTCTGGATTTCATCCTGGCCCTTCTTTCTCACGTAGTTTACTTCTTTATTTTGAGCGTTCTCAATAATTTAGCCCATAATCTCTGCCCTGTAACCTGCAGACAGGGGCTTTGCTCTGTCTCCCTCTCCCTCTTTCCCATTCAACCTGTTGGCAACTTTATGAAAGGATAATGTAAGCACGTGACTAGGTTGCTTCCCAGTGGACACTGAGTGAGGCGTAAACTGGAGGCTCCTTTGAATTGCATCCAAGGACCCTGATGACCCCTAGCCAAATGGGCATTCGTCCCAGCCCATTAGACTGCCAGCCATCCCCAAATCAGTGTGATTATTATGCTGTCATCCTGGGTATATGCAGTTGTTTTTGACTGGAAATGTCCCTGACACATGCCCTCTCTTCTGTTTGCCTGCCCAGCTCCTGCTCTTAGGACAGCCTTTTTTTTTTTTTTTTTTTTTTTCTTGCTTTCTCTCTGTGCTCCTTGGAATGGCTATAAACCTTTGTTATAGCAACTATGATCCTAAATTGCATTTATTTCTTACTGTTTGTCCTTTCCTGGTAGACTGAAATGGCATTATTTTAGGGACTTAACTTACTTGTTCTTAATTTCTCCGATTGTGAAAGGGGAATGGTCACAATATTTACTTCAGGTTAATAGTGATAGTGCTTGGTACCTAGTTAGGAGTCAATGAATGGTAGTAGCTATTATAATTTTTTTTTTTTTGTATTTACATCACATAATGTAAGGGCTAAGGAAGTAGAGTGCTGCGTTGAGGCTCCTGTGTGGGGCTCTGGGTTCAAACCCCATTATCACAAAGGAACGAAACAAAAGAACCCCACTGTTACCTTTTTAAATAAGTGCAGTGAGCTATTAATTACATATTCATGAATTAAAAAACAATCCAAAAAGAAACACTTATTTTTCAGTTTGAGTTCTGAGTTTTGCTTTATCCTAGAGGCAGTGAGGGATAAGATGGAATATCTAGCGACAAGATTCAGTTTTAAATTGATTATGTTGGTTGATTTATGGTACATAAACATTCTTTTATTGTATATCAGCCATTGTGTGGAAGTAGGAGTCACCCCACAGCTTACCTCTGTTTCAGTGTTTGTGGTCCTACAGGGAATTATTGCTTCCCTGTAAAAATGGAGTGGAATAGGTTACTGAGAGAAAGAGTTGAAAGACTTGTCACTTAAAATGTTAATAGCAAGTTGCTAGTTTTCAAATATTCCTCTTTTTCTTTTTTTTTTTTTTGTATTTAGTACAGGGTCTACAAGGGTCTCACCACACAGATTGGACTCAGTGATTCACCTGTTTTCAGCCTCCCAGGCACTGGGATTACAGGCACACACCACCACCATGCCCAGTCTCAATCACTGTCTCAGTGCACTTGGGGGGTGGTGGGGCTGGCACAGCAGCAGGCAGGGGGTCGAACCCAGTCCGTGCTTCTTCCTAAGCAGCTGCTTTAATTTGCTGAGCTATCTGGCCAGCCCTCAAATATTCCTCATACAGGGTACAAATATCTATTAAGAAAGATAATCATTTAATGTTTACCTTGAATTGTTCTGGCATCTTTGGCACTCCATTAATATGTTGAAGGTTAGAATTAGGAATAATAGAGATTGTAAGAATGTCAACAAAGGCTAACAATGTTTAATTACTTTGTACAAGCCAAGAATGTGGCAGATAGTTTGCATGCATTCTTATATCATTCATACAGAAATATGCAGATAAATAATATTCTTATTTTACACTTGAAATACAGAATATTTGAATCAGACTAGAAAATAGTGTAACTAGTATTCAAACTAGCTGGTTTTGTGCCCACATCTAGACTTCCTCCCTGTGCTCAGCTGTTCCTGCACTAGGGTTCCATTGCTGATAGCAAGGTAGGATAGAGAGAATGTTATATGGCAGAAGAAATGAATAGTACTGAAAGTTTTCCTTAAGTAGAAAAAATGGAATAAACATGAATTCTGTGTAAACAGAGGCAAAGCAAAATGAAGTTCATAAAGCTAGAGTAAAAGGCTGGTTAAAAGTTACATCTTTTGTTTGGTCATTGATAGAAATATGATGTCTGAGTTTTCTGAGGTGAAATTTCTGTACTCTCTGCCTTTTCTCATTGCTGAGACAAAGTACCCAACCTTGAAGTTAAGGAGGAAGAGGTTATTAGGCTCACAGTGTGTAGAGGTTTCAGTCTGTATTCAGCTGGTTCCAAGGCACGGTGGCATGGCAGAGGGGCATCACAGAGGAGTAACAGTTCGTGGCCAGCACCTAGCCACCACAGCAGCCCCGTCTCTGTCCCGTGTATATCCAGGCTCCTTGCCGTTAGAATGGGTAGCACTCAGTCCCAGGGAAGGCTTCCTCATTATATACGTCGACAACTGTGCCAAACCAGTCAGTGGACTAATGTAGTAATCATGCAGCAGTAATTCTAGCATCACACACTAGATCCAGCCACCTCTGAAAGCCCCACCTAGGATCACATGAGGCTTTGAGGAGACTTAGGCACAAGCCATATCACTATCTTATTTTTTAAAAAATAGTTTTATTGAGAAACAAAAAGCAATGAGACATTTTCAAAACCAATTATAGGACAGTTTCAATAATTAATACATTGAATATTGTTGTCTTCTTAGTGCTTATTCATAGTACAAGATGCAAACATGATGTCCTGTCCACAAACACTATTAGAACAAATCTTTCTATTCATTGAATTTAGAGAAAGTAGCAGTATATCTATCCTATCACCATCTTATTTTCAAGAATGTTAAATAAAATAGAAGTATATCTTTAAAATTATTTTAGTTTCTGAAAGTAGGTATAGTAATTGAAGGTCTGGGATTTTGCTGGAACTCCAATTTTTAATTAAGAATAAACTTTAGAGTTGCCTTTCTTTTCTTTCTTTCTTTCTTCTGCTTCTTCTTTCTTCTTTCTTCTTTCTTCTTTTCTTTTTTTAATGTATTTGGTACAAGGTCCATGCCTGGATTCGGTGGCCAACTCAGTGCACCTGGGTGTGCGGCGTGTGGTGCTGGGGATCAAACCCTGACCAGGGTCTCTGAGCTTGTCTAAGCAAGTGCTTAATCTGCTAAGCTATGTCACTGACTCAAAGCTAGTTACATTTCTGTCTTAGCTGCTTTTGTACATGACAGGAACTTCTCAGCAACATTTGTTCACTATAAGTAAGATACATTTTGTTTATAAGTACACTTTCTTCTTTTTTCTCTCCAGCTTCTTCATAAAATAATTGATGGCATTTGTGGTCGAGCTTATCCTCTGTACCAGGATTATGACAGTGTTTGGGATTCAGCAGAATGGGTGCATGTTCTTGAAGATGTTACCAAGTTTTTCAAAGCCGTGGTTGGTAAAAATTCATCAGATGAAGAGGTAACTTTACGCTACATTTCTATGCTCTATAATAAATAATGCCCTGATTTTCTAAGGTGAGTTTTAGAGTATTGTATAATCCAAGTGTCGTGACCAGCAAATACTGTGTATGTTATATAACAGCACAAATCACATTGTTGTAAGTAGTGAGTCTGAAATTTGTAGGGTTTTGTCTTGTTTTTGGTTTTTACTTTTTAGTTGTGTTTAGTTAAAGCATACAGAAAACTTCTAAATGAATACCTAAATTGCCATTACCACGATGAAACAGATAACATTTTACTGTAAGTGTTTAAGGTTTGTGTGTCCCCGGTTCCACAAAAAAAAAAAAAAAAAAAAAAAAAAGATTTGTGTGTATGTTTCTCAATATTTCTTTGGATGGTAGTGCTATCAATGCCCTACTTAAGGAATATTTGTGCCAAAGACATGAAAATATCCTGGTATGTTTTCTTGTAAAAATATGATTGTTTTAGTTCCCCATTTATACTCCTGGCCCAGTTTGAATTAATGTCTGTGCACAATGTAGGGGCAAGTTCACATTTGTCCGCATGTGTGTCCAGTGCCTCAGCAGCATTCATTGAGATGACTGACTTTGCCCCGCAAGCCTATTGTGCGTCCTTTGTTCTAAATCAGCTGGTTGTGTTTGTGGAAATGTTGACTGTAACCCACTAGTTTGTCTGCTCGTATTTTCCATTTCTGCACTTTTGATTACTGTAGAGCTTTGCTTTACTAAATTCAGTTTTGGTATCTAGTAATGCAAGATCTTCATCTTCATGTTTATTAAGATTGCCTTCACTGTTCTCAGTCCTCTCTATCATATACACATTTTAAAATTGACTTCACAGTTTTAACAACAACAAAGCCCATTGGTATTTATATTGGGATTGCACTTGAGAATTGATACCTTAAAAGAGTTTTATCCCTCTAGTCTGAGGAAATGGAGAGTCCTCGTTTATTTAGATTAGCTTTGCTTTCTCTAATGTTTTGTAGTCTAAAGTTCAGTCACAGTGTCTGAGTAGATTTATTTCTGAGTCAGTGGTATTTTTGATGGTCTTTAATTTTGCTTCCAGTTGTTTATTGCTAATACACAGAAATACAGTTGCTAATGTATAGAAATACAGTTGAGTTTTGTATATTTACCATGTGTTCAACAACTTCAATTTATTTATTGGATCTAATGATTTGTAGATTTTTGAGTGAAAGGATTTGTAGTAATCTTTTCCCATGTTAATACATTTTCTTCTTTTTCCTATCTTATTCCTTTGGTTCATACCTGTAGGGCAGTGTTGGAGAAAGAGAAAGGAGTGATAGTAGACATGTATCTCACTCCTAAGTTGAAGGGAAAAATTTTTTGCTATTTCACTGTTTATTGTCTTAGCTGTATGATTTCATAAATATTATCAGATTAAAGAAGTTACATTTATACCTTTGCTGATAGCTTACATCATAAGTATTGAATTTGATAAAAAAAATTCAAAATTTTTTCCCCTTTGTCTTGTTAATGCAGTTATTTTTGAATGTTAAGCTAGCTTGCACTGGCAGACTAAATCCCAGTTGGTCATGTTGTCTTATCTCCTGATTTTGTACACCAATATTCGTTTAGGATTTTTGCACCTGTATTTGAATGATACTGGCCTCTGGTTTTTCTTTCCTATAACAAGCTTGTCAAGATATCGTAGTTTATTCTGGGTTCATGGAATAAATTTGGAAAGTTTGTTGTTGTTTTCTGAAGAGTTTATATGACATTGATTTTATATCTTTAGTATTGGTTGCTTATTTTCAAATATTTGAAATGTTTTATCTTTTATCATGTCTTTATCCACTTGCATAGTAGTCTAGTCAAAAATACAAATAATAATATTTTAATCCTTCATGGTTTGCTATGTGGTTCAGCTCCTTGTATATTCTTCGGAATCTTTCATGTACATTTAAACTTCTTATGTACTCTGCAGTTGTTTGGTGTAGTCTTTTCTAAGTCAAGAAAGTTAAACAGAAAGTGTTTTTAAATTTTTCTGTGAGCTATTCAGTTAATATCCCTAATTAAGGATGGATTTATTTTTTCCTTTGGAACTGCCAAATTTTGCTGATTTATAATGTTATGAAGCTGTGCTAATAGGTATACACAGATTGGTGATTGTTCCTCTTGTTTGTTGAGAGGCCTTGTTGCCCCCTTGCCTATTTCTTGTAATAATTCTTGGTTTAAGAAAGGGCTTTTACTTGATATATTGATGAACCTTAAAAACTGTATCACTTCTGGGCTGCTTCACCAGTCAGTTGTTTCATTTTACTTTTTCTTTTGTGGGAACTTGCTAAAAACTGGTATGAAGCTGGGGAGATGGCTCAGTACAATAAGCGCTTCCCTGGCAAGTGCAAGAGTCTGAGTTCAATCTTCGGTCCAAAAAAAAAAAAACTGTGGTGGTTACTCATTCTCATTTTATACTTTTCACAGTTATTAAGATATTCTTTATTATCATTTAAAAATTTATATGAAAAGAGTGGAACTATACATGTTGAGCAAAATGGCCTTTTCATTTATTTTGCAATTATTTATTTTTATTTTCTCAGACGCTTCAACAGTTGAATCAGTTGAGTTCATCTCATCAAGAACATATCATGAAATGCTTGAAAAGTAGAAAAGATGAAATCAAGCAAGTTCTGTTAGGAGAAATAGTTAATATTTCCTCTGCACAGCTACAAGATTTTGACTGGCAGCTAAAGGTGAGAATCTGTTTATCTGTGAGTACATTTTTTTTATTTTTTAAGTTTTTGGAAATAGAGGCATACTTTTTATAATAAATGCCAGAAATTTGTGTTATTTTGAGAATATATTATTCCAAAGAGATAGCAAAGATCATTTTAATTATATTTTTGCATTACCTTGATTTAAAAGAAGTTCATGCACCCAAACCACATATTAATAACATTGCATTGAAAAATTTAACTAGTTGTCTATGCAATTTGTATATATGTGTGTGTGTGTGTATCTTTTATGTATTTGGTACGGGGTCTTGCTACACAGCTTGGACTCATAATGATCCTCCAGTTTTCAGCCTCACCAGTACTGGAATTATGCTCAGACTCTGGTGGTATCAGCCCACCCTGAAGGCGGGGCTGGCGCAGCATGTGGTGCCGGGGATCAAACCGTGGTCCCTGCATTTGCCTAAGCTTGACTAAGCAGGTGCTTTAGTCCAGTGAGCCATCTTGCTGGTCCTCAATTCATGTTTTTGTTTAGAGCTTTTTAGACTTTTGCTTTCTCAGGATCAGCCAGTATGATTTTGGGAGGAGAATCTATAATGTGATATTAGAGTAGCAGTTTTAAAAATATTTTAAAGAGAATCACGATCAGTAGAGTTGATAAAGAAAATTTCAAACCAATTTTCTGTTCCTTAAAAGGTTCTTAAGCCAGTAGATGAGAAGAATCAAGTATGCTGTTTTTAAAATTTTAGCATGACCTGGCTGAAGTGCTTCCTATTATCTTTGTGGATTAAGTGGAGACATGTTTGGAAAATAACATGATCAGATGAGTTGATAACTGGATTAAGTGACCCCCTAGTTACAGATGAACGAATTTGCCCAGCCAAGAAGGTGGTCTCTGTGGTTCTGGTTGTAACATTTTTATATTATTGCTATCAAGTTTGAAAGAATGCAACACCCAAGACTTAACTAAATATATGATGTAATCAAATTTTAAAATTATTTTATAACATTGCACAGATTGGCTAAGTGAAGATAAATAATCCAGTGATAACCTAAGTAGAGAATTTTCATTTAAAAAGCATTTTCTATTTCATAACTATAGATGATAAGATAGAGCTGCTAATATAATGTATATGAGAAATATTTAACAGACAACTAGAAGGTGATAGAAAATCTCAGACATTATGAATACTGATTTGGGTGAGAGAATGTCCCAAAGTATAGGTTGATGTTAATTCTAGTTCTATAAATTCCAGTTCTTAGCTATTCAGTCTTTTCTGTAAGCTTAACAGTCTTAGTTCTGGCTCCCAAAAGAGTGGTGAGGAATTTAAAATTCAGTTAGAAGAAATTGAAACATGAGAACATTTATGTGGAAAAGAGAAATCCAATGTAAAATATGACAGAAGATGATTAAAAGTCATATATGGATGTGGGAGTAAATGTATGCTCAGGGACACTGAAACTAGGACAAAGATTAAGGCATATCATGGGTCTGAATTCAACCTTGGGAAGGACTTAACAACTATGACTGTCTAGCACGATTTTACCCCTTCAGGTAGTGCCTCCTTCATTGGTGCTATTCAAGCATAGGCTGAGAAACTACTAATTGTAGCTAGTGAGAGTTATCCATAAAACAGACAACTGGAAGGTAATAGAAAATCTCAGGCATTATGAATACTGCTTTGGATGAGAGAATGGCGATGAATGAGGATTTGATTCTCCAGTACCAAAGGAGAGACCCACTGAGGATTTTGGGTCTTAGGGAAGGTGTTCTTTACCATTGCATGAGACTTTTATGAAGTATTGTACTCAATACAAAGATTATAGAGTTTTCTGGCTCATATTTGGGGAAAATTGAGTTTCCTTTTACCATATCCATTGATGGTACAGTGGTTATTTAAAAGAGTATTAGTACTGTGAATGCTGTATTCAATTTTTCCAGGTTCTTTAAGATATGCACACCCTGGGACAGAAATTTAAGAAATTGGGTAGATATGTTGAGAGTTTTTGTTTTGAGGTTCTAATTGGAGGTGATTTTTTGATAACAATAATTTGATAATTGACAATGAATTAAATATCAATTTCTGAGAATTTATTAATATTTCTAGTGTCCATTTATCATGATAAATAAAATGACATCTTCAATCTTCTTTAAGATTTCTGTATTTCTTGTTGTAGTAGATCTAATGTGTATTTCCCAGAGTTTGTTTTACTAAAATAGTTACAAAAGAATGTCTTCTTTACTAGACAAATACAGATCTAGATATTTGCTTCTACCACAAAATTGCTGGCTAGTTGACCTTTTTTCCTATTTGCTTTTTCTTTCTTTCTTT